TACACCAAAAAAATGATAAAAGACAAAAACACCCTATCACCTGTGGGTGAACCCTCTTCACAAAGCGACCATTCTACATCTGACTTGCCCCTCCTTGTCCTCAAAGGAAACCTGCACAAGACCTTCAAAAGACAAGCCTGGGATTTTAAATTCATAACTTTGCTAGACACTAAGGCTATGTCTACACTACACAGCTTTTAGCGACATGGCTGTGTCGCTACAGCCATTCCGCTAAAAGTCATGCAGTGTAGCCGCTGACATAAAACTTCCACCCCCAATGAGCGGCGTTTGCATTGTCAGCAGGAGAGCGTTTCTGATCACAAAGCGCTGTTCACACTGGCGCTTGTCATCGGCAAAACTTTTGTCTTTCGGGAGGGGGAGGATTAACACCTCTGAATGAGAAGTTTTGTCATTCAATTGCCAGTGTAGACATAGCTTACAAATCATGGTTTTGCAGAGACACTGGATTTATGGCTTATTACAACAAGCTGTAACCCACTAACCCCCTTTTTGCCCTATGACTACAGAGGTGTGAACTGGCCACTTCACCTTGAAAGGTCCATTACAATATGAATAATCTACTTATGCTAAACAATCTGTTCCACCTTATATTTAGCTGTGAGACTCTGAGTAGCTTTCCCAGCCCTGAAGAATTCTGTTTAAGCTCGAAAGCTTGTCTCTCTCCCCAACAGACATTGGTCCAATAAAAGCTATTCCCTCCTGCACCTAGTATCTGTAATATCCTGGGACCAATGCAGCTCCAACGGAAGAGATTTATTTATTAGCCACAGTGGAACAGCTTTCATGGAGAGACCGAGGAAACCCTAGCAGAATATGCCACAGCTCAGTGCTTAGAGCACGCTCCTAAGCAGTGGGAGACCTCTGACCTGGAGGTGGGGAGGAACTGAACCCAGGTATTCCATATCCAGGTGAGTGCGCTACCCATTGGGCACCACTACTTCCTCCTCTAGCCAGATTCTGAATGGGGCACACTCCAACCGTGAATAAGCACGCCTACTGACACAAGACAGGCAGGTGAAACCTTGTCTCCATAGGCATGGGAACCAAGGCCGTTGAGAGCGGGTTTGGGCCCCGGTGAAATTTTTTTTTGGGCCCCCCAGCAAGGGCGGATCGGCTAAACAGGGCTGACAAGAGGGGGGGGGAAGCCGGGCCCCGGGCCCCATTCTGGACCGCCAGGCCCTGGTAATTTTTACTGGCTTCCCTCCCTCTCGTTGGCCCTGGTGGGAACTAGGGTGTAGGGATATAAAAGAAGGTACTAACAGTGATTCCCCCAAGTGACAGTGACCCCCTCATAATTTG